ATAAACAGGGTGTGCGTATATCTGCTTGGGTGGCAGTTCTGGTTTCTTTAGGGTGTATTCCCAATAGTCAAATTGCTGGGTCAAATGGTATTTCTATTCGCAACTTTCTGAGAAAATGCCATATTGCCTTCCCTAGTGGTTACACCATTTTACACTCTCACCAACAGTGAATAAGGGTTCCAGTTTCTTCACAAGATCTCCAAAATTTGTTGCTTGCTGCTCTGTTAAAATTTGTTAGTCTTAATGGGGTAAGATAATATCTCATAGTTGTTTTGATTTGCATCTCTCTTAGAGCTAGGGATTTTCAACATTTCTTCATGTGATTGTTCACCATCTGAATGTCTTCTTTGGTGAAGTGTCTGTTCATATCCTGTGCCTATTTTTCAGTTGCGTTGTTTACCTTTATCTTCTTGTATCGAGTATTCTATAAGTTCTAGATATAAGTTCCTTATCTGACATGTCATTGTTGTTGTTATGTGCCATCGAGTTGCTTGCAACTCATAGCGACTCTATGTAAACATCCCTAAATTCTGCTCTGTTCTGTGCCAACTGCATTGTCTCTGACACACCCAATCCCGATTACCCCAGTCACTGAATCAATCCATCTCATAGAGGGCCTTCCTCTCCTGCGCTGTCCCTCCACCCTACCAAGCATGATGTCCCTCTCTAAGGACTGGTCCCTCCTTACAAAATGTCCTAAGTATGTTAGATGAAGCCTCAGAATCCTTGCCTCCAAGGAGCATCCTAGTTTAACCCTTTCCAGGATGAATCTGTTTGTTTTCCTAGCAGTCCATGGTATTCTCAATACGCTTCTCCAGCCCCATAGCTCAAAGGCATCAATTCTATTTTTATTCCTTCTAATCCTTCTATTCCTCCCTAGTCATTGTCCAACTCTCTGATGCATAACAAGTAATTGTAAAGACTGTGGTCTGTATAAGATGCACCTTAGTCTCCAGAGTAACACCATTGCTCTTAAGAAACTTTGGAGAGGTCCCTAACAGCAGACTTTCCCATCACAATACGTCTTCTAATTTCCTGGATGCTGGTGCCGAGAGTGTTGACTGTGGAGTCAAACAAACTAAAGCCGTGAACAATCTCAATCTCTTCACCATCCATCCTGATGCTGCCAATTGGTCCAGTATCATTACTATATATTTTTTCCCAGCCTGTGCCCTTCTTTTAACCCTATTGGAGAAGTTTTTGGAAGTGCATAGGGATTTGATTCTTTCAAGGACATGTACTTATGTAGTGACTGCAACAACGACAATAGCACAGCAGAGACTGTTTAGATGGTACAAGATCAAATAGGGCTTTGTTCTGTTGTATACGCAGTTGTTATGACTTAATGAGCCTACACATGACGAAACAATATTTCCACCAGTGCTCTAAACTACTGAATTTAATGAAAACATAAACTATGAGAGAATTTTTTTTAAAGTTTTAGTATGATCTGATTTGTTGTTGTTAGATTCTTTCGAGTATGACTCATAGTGACCCTATGAACAAAAAAAATCTTAACCCTGTCCTATCCTATGCCATCTGCACACGTCCTGACATACAAGAGCCCATTGAGGCAGTCACCATGTTGGTCTACCTGGTTGAGGGTCTTCCTCTCCTTCGCTAACCATCCACCCTTCTCAGTATCACCTCCTTCTCCATGGAATAGCCCCTCCTAGCAACATAGTGTCATTTGGAAGGCAGGGAGGCAACAGACTGGTGAAGAGAGTTCTACCAACTTCTAACTTAGATACCATCCCTGCTGCTTGACCCATTTAAGAAAAGAGAAAAAAATCACAACCAACCAACCAAAACCCAAACCTCCAATTTCTTGTTTAGAGTAAACACAACCTTAATAGTCAACATCCCAAAATATAGGACATAAAGAGGAATCCAAAAACCCAGCTCATAAAGGGTACAAATACCAAAATTCTACTAAACAGTATTCTAAACAATTAAGCAGTACATTAACAACGCAATAACCTACATTTTATTTCACTTAGATAGCAAATACTCACCATTAAAAAACAGAGTAATATAATTCACCAACTAGTACACTCAATAGGATAATAACTTTTATATATTAATAGGTAGGGAATACAGAGTTGATTATCTTATTTTAAAAAGAAATGTCTGAGAATAGGAAATTGATTTTTCCACTCTGGTCACATCTGTAGCAATCACTTTGCTACTATGTCACTTCAGAGGGTATTTGCCATAAAATATTTGATAAAGTAGCCAAAGTAATTAATTTAAATATGAAGGGAAAATTAACGCATTTCTGCTAAATGCTTATTAAAATAGCTATAATTAAAAAGACTAAAATTACCAAATATACTCAAGATGTAGAGCAATTAAATCTCTCATATATTGGTTTTTAGAATGTAAATAGCCACAACCACTTTAAAAATTAGCTTTGCAATATCATTAGCACTAAATATATATGTACTCTGTGACCTAAGAATTCTATATGTTAGTATTCATAATATATATATAGACAATGTACGCTATCCATACATATACATATTAAACTTCTATTCATCTATCATATTGTCTTACTGTGGTGGCTTGCATTTTCTGTGATGCTAGAAGTTATGAAATTATATCAAATACCACGAGGTCACTCATGGTGCAAATTTCAACAGTTTCCAGACTGAGATTTGACCCTCTCCTTCTAAAATAATGGACTTTGAAAGCCCTTTGAATAGCAATGGAACATAATCTTATATAGTGCTGGAAAATAAGGTCTTTAAGTTGGAAGCTACTACAGCTGAGGAAGAACTACCTTCTCAGAGTAGAGTCTACCTTGATGATCCAGATGGAGTAAAGCCTTCAGCCTATGAAGAACTTTCATTTCTTTGTGTGGCAGGACCCAAAATGAGGTGAAACAGCTGCATGGATACATTAATATTTGAAACATGGAATGTACAAAGTATGAATCTAGGAAAAATGGAAGTTGTCAGAAAGAAATATCACAAGTTACAGTCTATATTATTGATTTTGCAGTAGCAAGCTGAAGTGTTTGGTATTGAACATTTTGAATCAGACAATTATATTATCTACTATGCTAGAAATGACATATTGAAGAGGAATGATATTGTAATAATTATAAAAAGAACATTTCAAGATTTGTGTTGAAGTACCATACTGTCAGCTATAAAATATCTATGCATATAAAAGGAAGATGTATTCATATCACTATTGTTCAAATGTATACACCAACCAGTAAAACCAAAGATGAAGCAATAGTGTAATACTATTAATATATGGTAGTTGAGTCTTCGACTGATGATTTTGAGTTTTTCCACTGTGTTTTCCTACAGAAGTGTTTGCTTTCTTTGTATTCCATCACTGGAAGTCCAGATGTATAGTCATTATTGATAGGTTTTTAAAAAAATCATATTTGCAATGATTGTTGTTGTTGTTAAGTGCCGTCAAGTTGCAGGTGACTCATAGCGACCCTGTGAAGGAGAGTCCCTCTCATCTTCTCTCTAGGTTCATAGTGTTTCCAGAGGCAAGCTATTATGGAAGTGGATGCCATTCCTCCTTCCAACTGCAATGATTAAGTTGTAAAATATTCTATCATGTGATCTCAGGGCTCATTTCTGTCACAAAGTCCATGTTTTTTTCTTTTTTATTTTCAGCTTTTGTATTCCAAACTTGATGGCAGCTATAGTGATCCTGAGAGGCAACAATGATAAATCTTTATCTCACATACTTTGGACATTATTCCTCAGAGAAAGGACATCATAATTGAGAAGTAGAGGGACAGTGAAGGAGAAAAAGACCCTTAACCAGATGGATTGATACAGTAACTTCTGCAGTGGGCTCTCATTGTCAGGGACTGTGAAGATGGCATAGGATGGGACAGGGTCCAGATTTGTTGTTCAAAGGGTTGCTATGAGTTGTACTCGACTGAACGACACCTAACAACAACAACCACCACCAACATCTAAAGGGTTGCTTGGTGGGTAGGAGCTCTGCTTTCAGCCTAAAGGTACAGTTTGAATCCACCAACAAAGATGAGAAATCTCAATTATTTACTCCCTCTGAAATCTGCTGGAGGGTTGCCTGCACATAATAAAAACATGACCAACAACGAAGGTGTGATATTGATTAAACACGCAATCAGGATGCATTAATAATAACTAAAGATTACAATATAATAGCTGCAAACAAAGGAATTAAGGTTGGAAAAATATGGAAATTGCAGTTGGAAAAATATGGAAAGATATAGAAATGAGCTCTGAGATCCCATCATAGAATATTTTACAGCCAATATCCTATTCATTGCAAATATGATTTTTTAAAAAAGTAAAGGGTGACTATACATCTGGTTCTTCATTGATGGAATATGAAGGAATCGAACTATCCCTTGTGGAGAAAGATAGTGAGAAGACATAACATCATCACTTGGAAACTCATCAGTCAGTACAAGTTCTCAAGGGCCAACTGTGGGACAGATCATCAATTGTTGCTGTTATATACTGCCACATTGACTCACAGTGGTCCTATGAACAACGGCTCTGACTCTTTCCCTGTGAGGAACCTATCTTACTGTCTCTCACACATGTGACCCCATTGCCACAGTCATTGCATCAATCCATCCTATTCAGGATCTTCCTCTCCTACCATGAGCCTTCCAAACATGACAACTTTCTCTGAGGACTTGTCTCAACTGGGAACTGTAAGAGCCAAAGCCTCAGGAACTCAGTTTCTGGTAAAGTGCAGCTACCCCCACCCCACCCTCTTGAGTAGCAAACAGCCCCACCTTGTTGACTAACTGCCATGTCTTACGCAGAGGTAAAATTCTTCTTCTTTGTAAGGGCATAAGGGATTTTTTTTTCCGCATTCCTGTATCTTAAGTAACCAATAAGATTCAAATAGGTTTCCAAACTGTTTCCCCACCAATCAGGTTCAAACAAGTCTCCAAACTGCATGCCTGAGCTATAGCTAACCAGTTGAAAGTAGACTAGTACCCAAACTACTATAGATAGCCAATCATAGCACGTATAGTTAGACAAAGAAGTCACAGAGGTATAAAAGGTAGAAGCTTGTGCCAGCTCGGGGCTCTCGGGTGGATGCGGCTGTGTCAGCACGCGGGAGCCCGGGTTCAAACTTGAAATAAACTTTAATTTGGCTAATTGTATCTGTGGTCTTCTCTGGGGACTCGCTCTGTTACAGTGACATGCTCAAAGTATATGAGGCAGAGTTTCAATACCCTTGTCTCCAAGTGCAAACTGGTTTTATCCTCTCCAGGACAGACCTGTTTGTTCCCTTGGCTGTCCACAGTGTGTTCAGTAGTCTTCTCCAGCACCACAACACAAAACATAGATTCTTGTTCTTTCATCCTTATTTATTGTCCAGCTCTCAGATGCCTAGCAAGTAAGTGAGAAGATAGTAGCTTGGAACAGACACACCTTAGTTTCTATACTGACACCATTGCTCTTTAGCACTCTGGAGAAGTCCTTGACAACAGATTTTCCCAGTGCAATTCTTCGTTTGATTTCCTGACTGCTGATACCAAGAAGCTTAGTTGTACACCTGAGCAAGATGAAATAATAAACAACTATTAACAACGTTTTCTCCATCTACCATTATTATGCTTATTGGCTTGTTGGTGAGGATTTTTGCTTTCTTGATGCTGAGATCCAATTTATATCAAAGGCTGCAATCCTCGACATTCTACTGAAAATATTTCAAGTCAAATGCATCACTTGATTATATGTAAAACTATTAATCACTCACATATAAGACTCAGAAACTTGTCTTTGAATATAGAGGAGCTAAAGTGAAGCAAGAAATGATAAAATGATAAAATAAAATGGATGATTATAAAGGGCAGTTTGGCAAAATAAAACAAAACATAAAATGAGCAAAGACTTGGCATTAGGAAACAAAAAATTGAAGAGCATGATTGGAATTTCTCAAACTAAAAGAACTAAAGCAAAAATCCAAGCCAAGAGAAAAGTGTACTTGGGAGGGGCGGAGCAGGAAGGGAGAAAAGTTCAACAATGAATGACTGGAAATCCAAAGTGTCTGCAAAGTTTCATTAAAATAAATAATAACAAGAAGATTTTTAAAAAGGCTCTAAAGGAAAAATATTGAATGATAATAGACATTTATTGAGGTGGGTAAATGGAGAGGAAATATATAATAATAAAGTGATCAGCAAAATACCAACAAGTAATAGAACCTGAGAGGTCTAGAAGGATTAATGGAAACGCCTGTTAAGCAGACAGTGGGAAAGGCTACTACAGTGTGGGTATTTGCTAATGTGCAAAACCCAAAACGAGGAGAAACTGTTGCAAACATCTATTTATAATTAGAAGACAGAGTATAAGCAAAAGTATGAAACTAGAAAAATTACAAGTTGTCCAAAATGAAATGCAGTCTTTAAGATTGACATACTAGGAATTCATGGGCTGAGATGCCCTGGCATTTGGCTATTTTGAATCCTACCATTTTGTATGCTTGTTTAATTTTTATCATAATTTTAGTGAAAATTTACAAAGCAAATGCATTTTTCTTTCAGCCATCCATAACTATTTTGCTCTATCACAATGCCCACAATGTAATAGCTTTCCCCTCTGCCTCCATCATAATAACTAACTATAGTCTAGTTGACCGAGACTTGATCACCTGAGGCCTTTGAGTGATTATGTGGAGCAAAACAACTGCACTCAAATCCAGTGATATTATAGTTATATATTTTTATCTATATAAGTGATTACAAACTCTTATGCATGAAGGTACTGATAGTTGAAAAACATTTATTCCATACATATGTAATTGTCATTGTTGATATGTGCCATTGAGTTGACAACTACTCATAGCAACCCTATGCACAATACCTCTGAAGCCTGTTCTGTCCTCCACTGATCAATCTCTCCGTCTCTGACACACCTACTTTCATTACCTCAGTTACATTGTCAATTCATCTCATTTAGGGGCTTCCTCTCTTGTGTTGTCCCTCCACCCTTCTAAGTATGATGTCCTTTTCCAAGGACTGGTCCCGCCTGGCCACATGTCCAAAGTATGTCAGAAGGAGCCTCAAAAATCCTAGCCTCCAAGGAGCAGTTTGTTTTCATCCTCTCCAGGACAGATCTGTTTGTTCTTTTGACTGTCCATGGTATGTTCAATACTCTTCCCCAGCAACACAACTCAAAGGCATCAATTCTTTTTTGGTTAACTTTGGTTATTTTACAGCTCTCTGGTGCATAGTAAGTAGATGTGAAGACAAGGGCCTGATACATCTTAGTCTCCAGACTGACAATTTTGCTCTTCAGAATTCTGGAGAGGTCTCTAACAGTAGATTTTCCTAATGTAATGAATCTTTATTTTCCTGATGTAATTAATCTTTTGCTTTCTTGACTGCTAGTGCCAAGAGTGTTAATTGTGGAACCTTGTTGTTATTGATTGCCTTCGAGTTGAGCATAATTCATACTGACTCTATGAACAAAAGACTGAAGCTTTTCTATAGCATCGAAGTTCATAGAGTTTCCAGAGGCATGTTGTTTCAGAAGTGGATGCCACTCCTGCTTCCAAATCTGTCTTAAACTGGGAGCTCCACTAAACACTGTCTACCATGGGTAACCATATGGCATTTGACACACTCAATGGCACAAGGCTCAGTATCACAATAACCGCAGGTTACCTCAGTACAGCAAATGACAGAAGAGAGCTGTGGTAGCAGATTTATGAGACTGAATTTACTCAGCATAATAATGGTCCACAGTATCTCCCAATTTATGTAGTATTTTTTGAAATGGTTGCTTCTGAGTGCCATGTAGACAGGAGTGGAAGCAGAGTGGTGAGAATGAGAAGGGGTGAGACTACAAATTGGTGCATGGGGACGGGGGAAGGAAACGGGGAGGATCTGGGCAAAAAGGACTATGATGGCAAGGTCCAACAGTGATTAATTTTATAAAACATCTTGTTGAAACTGAGGAGGATCTGAAGTGCTTGCTGCAGAGGGTCAAGGACTGCAGCCTTCAATATGGATTAAGGTTCAAAATCAAGGAGACAAAAATTCTCACCACTGGACCAACTGGCAGCATCAGGTTGGATGGTGAAGAGAATGAGATTGTTTATAGCTTTAGTTGCTTGGCTCCACAGTCAATATTCTTGGCACCATCAACCAGGAAATTAAAAGACGCATTGTGATGGGAAAGTATGCTGTTAGGGACCTATCCAAAGTACTTAAGAGCAATGGTGTCTCTCTGGAGACTAAGGTGCACCTGATACAGGCCATGATCTTTGCAATTACTTGCTATGCATCAGAGAGCTGAACAACGACTAGGGAGGATAGAAGGAGAATTGATGCCTTTGAGCTGTGGTGCTGGAGAAGAGTATTGAAGGTACTCTGGACTGCTAAGAAAACAAACGTGTTCATCCTGGAGAGAGTTAAACTGGGATGCTCCTTGGAGACAAGATTCTGAGGCTTCGTCTGACATACTTTGGACACGTTGCAAGGAAGGACCAGTCCTTGGAGAGGAACATCATGTTTGGGAGGGAAAGCGCAGGAGAGGAAGACCCTTTATGAGGTGAATTGATTCAGTGACGGGGGTAATCGGGGCGGGTATGTCAGAGACAGTGAGATAGGCACAGGACAGAACAGGGTACATAAGGTTGCTATGAGTTGCAAGCGACTCGACAACACATAACAATAACAGTACATGAGAATGATTGTATAAAACAAAATATGATTAAGGAATAGTGTGAAACACAATGTATATGCCTTACTTTGTAAGGCAGAGTGTATATGAACTTTGTAAGCAAACTAATTTTAAAAAGTGGTTAGTTTCATTAGTGATCATGGCAATACAAATAAAAACAATTGTATTCCACGTATAACCACACTCATTCCTTCACTAATTGCTACTGAGTTGGAACTAATTCATTGTTGATCTTGACTGGGTTTCCAAGGCTATAAATTACATGAACAGGAACTGTCCATCCTTATTTTTTTTTTAGAGTTCCAGAATATTTTATTATACTTATACAAAACATATTTCTAGACCAAGAAAACTGTTTCAAAAATGCAGCAAGGTAATACATGGTTTAAAACCAAGAAAGGGGTACATCAGTAACGTATCCTTTCTCTGTATTTATTCAATCGCTGTGCTGGACTCTATTAAGACAACTGCGGCCATAGGACAGGAAGACTCATTAAGAATCTACATCATGCAGATGAGACAAGCTTGCTTGTTGAGTTGAGTCAGTTGCTGCAAAATATCAAAAACTTAGCCTTTAATATGAATTTCATTGCAACAGAAAGAAAACAAAAGTTCTCATCACCAGGTTGTGAATTAACATCATGATAGATGGAAAAATGTTCAACATTGTCATCAATTTTGTGTTACTGGGTTCTATAATGCACACATTTGGCACCAGCAGTCAAAAGATGAAAAGATATATGTCAATGAACAAGTATGTTGTCACAGTTCTCTCCAGAGTCCTGAGGAGTAATGTAAATATAATGACTAAGATGTGCTGATTCAGGCCATAGTTGTTTGTGTGTATGGGTTTTTTTTTTAACTCTGATATATTTACAAAGTTTGAATATGTTGTTTTTCTTAAAAAATCCTTCATATTTCCTTCATCCCTCCCACTCATCAAGTTGTGAAACCCTACGATTAACACCCACTCCATCCTCAGTCCTCTATTTCCACCCTCCCCCGTTGCCTTGGATCCTCATAAACATTCTACAGTAATGTT